TCTCACTCTCTCTCTCTCTCTTTCTCTCTCTCTCTCAAACACACACACACACACACACACACACACACACACACACACACACAGAGTCCAGTGAATACTGGTACACTGTAGACAATTGTTTGTCTATCCTAACATGTTCAGAACACTTACTTACATGATTTTGACCAAAAGTAAGCTCATGTAATAAAAAGCCCATCTTTAATAAACTATATCTCATGTATATGTACAGAAGGGCATGCAAACACACACACACACATATACACACAATCCAATAAATACTGGTACACTGTAGAGGATTGTTTATCTCCTGGTGATCAGTTATTGGGAGCTACAGCTTACTCCCACTGTTCAACATCATCAAGGAGGTTCATACCACCCAGAAAGAAGGGGGAAAAAAAAAAAAAAGAAAGAAAAAAATCAAAGTTCAAAGTATGGTTTCTATCTTAATACCAGTGGCTATCAGTAGATTCAAAGCAGACTAAGAATTCCTGTAATTTCAAGTTCTATATTAGTTTTCATAAATTTTAAGAGGGGTTGGGAAGATGGCTCCTCAATAAAAGCACTTGCTGTACAAGCATGTTTGAATCCCTAGAACTCACATAGCTACCCAGACTAGTGAACTTCCAAACTTCCAGTTCAGTGAGACCCTGCCTCAAGGCAATAAAGTAGAAAAGCAACAGAGGGTAACATCTGACACCCGGCTCTAGTTGCCATACATATGGACACATGGCCATGTGCACTCATTCATATGCACACACCCCTCAGAAACGCCTCCCACATTTAAAAAAAAAAAAATTATGTGTGTGTTTGGTCTGCATGTATATAAGCACACCCACATCATGCAATACCCAAAGAAGCCAGAAAATGGTGTTGGACCCCCTGAAACTGGAGTTAAGGACAGCTGTTGGCCACCATGTGGGTGCTAAGAACCAATCCTAGATCCTGCAAAAGCAGTCAGTGCTCTTAACCACTGAGCCATCTCTCCAGCCCTATCCCACATGTTTTTTAAAGATAACTTTCAGAAACACAATTAATGTTAAATGAGAGTCTAACGAATACTAACAGTGATGACAATACAAAAGTTACTTAACCTTGATTTATTATTAATTTTTCCTAACTTGAGGTAATCAATTTTTATCTCCTTTATATGGTAATATCAATGCTTACACTGAAATTCATTCCATCAAATTAATTCTACCATTAAACAAGATACTTACATTATTTGTCCTCCAATGGTTGACTTGCCTGCATCTAAAAGCAATATCAACAGTATGCATTAAAAACAACCAAGTACAAATGCTACTACAGTTATTTTCTTAGCATATGTAATCAAAGTCCTACCAAGCAACTGAACTATAATAGGAATTTGGGGCTTAAAGTCTAAGGACTTTCTCTCATATAAAACAAGGCTAAGAATCCCCATAGCACAGTAATGAGTGAGAAATACTTTCTTGATAAAGAAGAAATATTTTTTTGGTCTTTTTGAGACAGTGTCTCCCTGTAGCCCCAGCTGTCCTGGAGCTCACTATGTAGACCAGGCTG